TACGAGCCCCCGACATACTGTTCATGAGGGTGTGAAAAGTCTGACCAATAGACTTTCTCACATAGGTGGCGTCGGGCCTCCGGACTGAGGACCTCGGGATAGTTGTAATCAAAGATTAGAGACTGAGCGATATGGATTGCGAGTCGTAAACAGTGGCGTTTGTGCATCTATTCAATTTCTATACAACCTTAATCCTCTGAATTTCCCCATTTTCTTTTCTACTCTACTTTCAACTTTCCTGTCTTTCTCCTAGTATTTCATCCAAATGGGCAGCCAAAAGACGGCAACCAGAACCGGCGCATGAAAGTGAATGGTTAATGGTTGTATAAGTTGAAACCGATTAGCGTCGCCATTCGAATTCGGTCTTACCATAAACACAATATACTGAGAGCATCCCCTGGGCGGTGGATAACGAAATGGATGCCAATTTGTAATCATCTGCTGCGAACAAAGTAGATCTATTTGCACTTAAAAGAGATTGAAGAAAATTAGTGGCAGTGCTCACGGATATGGTAGACACACCACTTAGCAAGAGTTCTCCACATAAGACATCACATGTATCTGAGGGCAGCGCTATGACATGGCAAATGTGGCCCATCACTGCATATGATCATTGCTCCCTTCCCCGACAAGGTTCTGCAACTGGCCATCGGCTCATCTGAAACAACGCTGCCACTTGACAGTTCTTGCTTGTCTGCGAAAAGGTTCGAGTGCATCCTGGAATACGGTCAACTGTGAACCGAACGAGTGAGAAGTACTATTGCCCAGGACAAGTATGGATATACTTTAGTGCAAAAGTTCCAGTTCTTCACTGCAGTCGATGATATTTTATAATTATACAACATACACCCATTCTTGCTTCTCTAAACTCTCTCGGTCTCCCCATTGCACTCAGACACGTTCAAATTAATTGAGAACTTCTGCAGACTGTATCAGTGGTAATGTCTCCCGCATACTGCTTCGTCTAGCTTCCAACTCTAACTAGATTCTTCTCTTCCAACGTCTGGTGCACTTCCTAGGCCTCGATACCCCTTCAAACTGGCCACGATTAATAGGCGTATGGGAAAATAGGCGTTTTTATCTCATTCTGTCTGAGGCTCTGAGGATCAGTAGGTACTTTGTCCAAGATACTCGACTCTAAGGCTGCAACGCCATCATCCAATCGAATCAATCTTCTATATCGCACTTGCTCCTTTCTGAGGCTCTGGCTTCTAGTACTGCTGCGATTGACGTTAGTCATAGACCTAAAGTGGTGCAGCTACTGAGGGTCCTAGTCGATGACCAGTTTTGTCAGGTGAGACTTTGGGGCTTGTGCAAATTACGCGGTCATTGCCCGATAGAGACAATTTGTTTATCATCTCGACGCATAACAAAACGGCGGTTGGACTGTGATCAGCTATCACAATCGATTTTCCTAACCGAATTCGAAAAACGCGCTATCTGCAAAGCGAGAACCAACCTCACTAACTAACATCAAACACCGCTGTTCGCTTATCAAGAAGGCTGCGCATTCTGCAAAGTTAATGATTTGTAACGCGACACGTCATATTTTTACAACCTGAAATCTCCGTGTTATTCTGGCACATGTGACTCAGTCGCGCCCGGCATTAAACATAACGAAGCAGAACGCGTAACAAAACAGTATATGTAAGAGATTGAGAACTTTGGCAGTCCCAGCATGCATCAGAAATAAAGCGTACTGCCACCATAGGAAATTGCCACAAGATTTGCAATCTCATCCAGGTAACTGGTAGGATAAGACTGGGTGCGAGGAAATGATCTGTCGAGCTGAGAGCTCGCCTGCACTCAATCAGCCTCGATGTCTTCACGCTGGGCGGAGCACTTGGAGTCACAGTTTAGCTGACTACCAGCTTCAGATTCTACTATTTCAGCTTTTCCAGCACATGTCCTATGGTTTGAGGCGGATATTTGCAAGTTGGTCGAAGTCTAATGTTGCGAAACACTGAGCTTCGAGGACATTTTTGCCATCTCTATTTACGGATTGTGGGACGAAGCTCGTTGAAGAACTGCAAGTTCTGTTTCTCAACTCTTGGAACACTTGGAAAGGGGAATTGGTCATTGCCGCAATCTTTAAGAAGGGCTCGCTTTATGATTGTGACCAACAACAAGAGCATCATCCTACTCGCAACGGTGTTAAAGTTGCTAGCCTCCTTCATTCCCTATAGATTGCATAATGCCCGAGATGAGCATAATAATGCGAATTAGGCGAGGTTCGGAGCCGCACGTTAGTGCATCAATCAAATCTTCATCTTTCAACAGTTACCGCGTGATAGATTTAATTCTTGAAACAGCCCTATCCTCGTGCAAGGATAGCGGTATCGATTTACTTCCGGGTGGCAGACTGTCTGATCTAGAGTACGTCGTGCAGGGATAGCGGTATCGATTTACTTCCGGGTGGCAGACTGTCTGATCTAGAGTATGCAGCCGACATTGTGCTACTAACCGACGATCCAGGTAAGTTGCAAGCTTTTCTGGATAGTTTGAGTGCTAGTGTTCTCATGTTCGGTATACGCTTTGCACCTTCTAAGTGTAAAATGCTACTACAAGATTGGGTTGTTCTAGCACCCAGTCTCACCCTAACTGGGGAAGTAATAGAGGAAGTAGACAAATTTTGCTATCTTGGCAACTATATTTCATCTGGTGGACGCCTCACAGATGAAGTATCGGCGCGGATACAAAAGGCTCGGTTGGCATTTGCCAACTTGAGACTATTGTGACACCGACGCGACTGGCTGTCTGTGAAGGGTCCAGCATATGCTCCAGCAGTTCGGCCTGTGCAGCTTTACCGTGCAGAAACTTGGCCATTAAGGAGGCAGGATAAAGATAGACTGTTGGTGTTTGAACACCGCTGTCTATGCAGCATTGCACGAATCTAGTGGGGCAGCCGGACGAACAATGCTGAGGTTAGGCGTAGAGTTTTAGTCATTCGCGGTCGTCCACTGGAGCCAGTGATCGACCTCCATGGATTACGTTGTCTAGGGCATGTGTTACGCATGTCATCAAATAGGTTGCCTGCGGCGAGAGATATTTGCCGAGGCTGGTAGCTGATGGAAAAAGATAAAGGGTCATGAAACTCAGACCTGGCATGAAGGTATGAAAACCCTAACCAGGAGACTAGGTCACATAGGCCCCGTTAGGCTCTCCGGTTGGGGACCTCGGGGCGATGGTCACCAATCGTTAGAGACACTGAGTGATATGGCTGGGTGTCGCAAACAGTGGCGTTCTTGCATCCACTCATTATTCCCCTATCACTATTCTATGTGAGTTCTCCATCTTCCGCTTGAATTTGCTTTCAACATTCCAATTTTCATTCTGCTCTTTTATCCAAATGTGGCATTAAAAGACAGCAACCAAAACCGGCGCACGAAAGTGCATGGTTAATGGTTGCTGAAACTGAAACAGCTTCAGCAGTACCGTCACACTTTCCAGAGATCAGTGATCGATGTGTTCTTAGACTTTCACACGAACTTCTCTTCCATCGATAAGACCGCATTATGGAACTGCTTGTTGAGAAATGCAAGACTATCGGAAAAACCGGAATGCATTGAAAAGCTACTCAAAGACACGGTTCCTGCTTCTGCAGTTTCATTCTATGTGTACCTCTTTACGTGGTCCAATGGAGCAAAGTATATCGGCCGCACGAACAGGCGCCTATCTTTACGAGTTCGGGAACATCATCCGGCCTGGCTGAACACTGGTGTGGTTAAAACTATTACAAGTGCCATCGTTTCACACCATGTCGAGTTCGATCACACAGTGAGTGTGATAAAGCCTTTCGGCCTCTCTACTGTATTCGTGGTAGCAGATCAAAACCGATTAAAAAACACATCCTAACCACCGCAGAAGCGGAATTAATCTACATAATCCCCCTTGTGTGCCCAAAAACAAATTATGAATTCACTCAACCTGGCATAGCCATCCACCTCCTATCCTTCTCCCCTTCCCAATCCCACCCGAGATCATATATAAGTAACGCGGACCAAGCGTAAGTTCCGATGGTAGGACCAACCATATCTGGTTTGGGAAACTGAGACAGAAAACAGCAACAACAGCAAAATCTCCATTTGAATAATCATTACTTTTGTTTTCTCCTTTCTGTATACAATGATGTTATATAAAATATGACTTATTAGCCAGTTGATGAGTTTATGAAAATAAGCTTGTTCACTAAACTGCGTTTTCATTCAATGTGTGCCGTTGGTATAATCCGGGAACACCTGGGCTCGTAATCTCCAGCCACCTAACTGGAGCGAAACGGGAGCCGTAAGCTCGCACTCGGATTCGGGTGTTACTGTAAAAGGATCTAATTGGTAGAGTAAAATTGTCCGGTTTATCCTACAAGGAAAAACAGAACCAGAGTGCGGTACAGTCGAAATTCGGCAAAGTGGCGATAAGGTGGATGAAGCCGGATTCACATCTGATCACAGTTCACGTGGGACAGACGATAGAGCATAACGGTAGGGAGAAGCTAGCTTTAAGACAATGTTACTCGGACTAACTCTTTATTTTAAAAAATGTGTGAAATAACCTTTTTGAACTCCGAATGCCGATTTTGTTTACGGTTTCATGAAGAACTTATCCGCTTGGTAATCGGAACATGTTGGCCGATTAATGACTATTTTCACTCGTGAATGTCATTGAAAATCAGAATCAATACTACTGGTATAATTAAAAAGGAAAACGCCGTGAAACACACATCGTTTTTTATTTCAAATTTACTCTTGTTGTTAACGGATTTTATCGACGTGACGGTGGCATTAAATACACACATGAATTCATACATACATGCAAGCATACATACATATATACATAAATATGGACATACATAAATATATGCATACATACACGCGTCAACGCACAAGTACATGTGCAATCGTTTTAGCACATCGTCGGTAAAACATTTTCATTAACTTAAATATGCACATCCTGTGGAATGATTTACAAGGTACTCTTCTGCATAACTCTCCCCCATATTCTTCATGGCAAAGGAAACGGAAGTTTATGTGCAAATCGCTCTGGACGATATGCCCGAGGATATGCGAACAAGTATGCTGGAATTGATCGAGAAATACGCCGCTGTCAGTCACCTAGTTGGCAAACTGATCAAACTGTATCAGGAACGCCGAAAAATATTCGTGATTCAAGGTTTCGACTGGACAGTGAGCTCAAGAAAGAAAGTGCTCAACCGGTCGGACATGGGCGACACAAATCGAACAGAACTGGATCACTCGTATTCCTGGCGGCCATCGCTATTTGTTTCACGTCCGATAGCTCTGAAAGAACTACATCGAGCGTTCAGTTTACCACATTCTAGCACCGGCACCTCGTCGTTCACCGAAAGCCACTCGGATCTGCGCGTGACAACCAGTGAGGATGCGGACGTTGAAGAACCGGGACCAGCGGAAGGGGTGATGGTGGTGGCACACCACAAACAGGGACCAGTAAAAAAGACGGGCTCAAACAAACGGAAAAGAATGAGACGAAAAGCACGTATTGTGTCTCCGTACACGCGGCTACGAATACAATTTTCTGAACTATTGAAGAAACGTATGCTGAAACAGGCTCGTTAAGTTCCTACAAGTTTGGTTGAGTACTTTGCAGTTCATTAGACCCATGGCAGATCTACCATTCGCACGACTTCGGAACGCTGTGATCTGACATGTATTCTGAACCATAAAAAAGGGTAAGACGATTAATTGACAACGAGTTGACGATTATGATGACGTTATTATTTATTGGGACAACATTACGGTTCAAAAAACAGTTTCTGCAATACAGACGTATTCGATAAATCTACTTCTAAAGATGAGTTTATGTTTTCAGCAATGTATAGTCTTCAAATCTACTGGTACCACTGTATGTTTCAAGCGGCAGACGAATGTGTACCGATGCATCAGTATCCCTCGGACACCAAAATGACCATATTCCTCATGGTTCGCAGTCGAAATCTCAGTTTAACTACTGCAAATGTAGTTAGTAGTAAAACAAATTACTGAACGTTACCACAACCGACTGAGTTGCTTTGATGCGCAATCTACTCCCAAAATGTCCATCTATGCACTGGTCATATACAACACACGCAGCCGTGAAACGTTCTGAGTTTCGATGAGCGATTACAGTTAACCATTACTGCAGTGACCCCTTTGGTTACTAATTAGTATTCATTCGTGGCTTTTAAACCTTCGTCCATAGATATTTCTGTTTGGTATCAATTCGCTTACTCATAAACTCCAAAGCCGTTACCTGCGGACAGACTGCAACCAGAAGGGGTGTTTTTTCAAGTGAAAAGCCCAATGATTGCGGGGAATAACCACGAAAACAGAGCACGTTGAGTAAAGTCGCAAACATTACGGAGCGGAACAGGCCTCGATTGCAAACAGTGTCAACGCAACAAAGCTTATGTGTCTGTATGTGTGGCCTGGAATAGGCGCTTAATTCAGCGGGGGGATTACCGTTACTTCGAACGCTCACTGCCCAGCAGTAAATGATCTTGCTAACATTTGGCGAACCCTCACCCTCCGACAGCTATCAGAGTACTGTCGTGCTCGTCGAGGACCAATGATCATCGTGTGTTCTTAGACATCCTCGCGGCCTTCTACTCTATCAATAGGACCGCACTATGGAACTATTTGTTGGAGTGGAGTTCTTAAGAAGTATGTTTCTATCCTCTATGAGTTTTATCGTCACACCTCAGTTTGGGTCGGTTATGAGGCCTGACCCCTAAGCGTTTAGGATGCTAATCGATTTTCTGTATTCGACCAACGATGTCTGCGAATTATTGTCCATGTCTGATTGGAATTTCGAGTGAGCAATAACGAGGTTCGTCGTCGTGGATTGGATTTGGATAGTCATTCTCTGGAAGCAATAAACTCTCTACATCGCCTCCGATGTTTTGACCACGTATTGCGTATGCCTGACCATAATCTACCTTTCCGTGATCCCTTTGCACGTGCTGGAACAAGCAATGCGGTGGTCAGACCATGACATGGCATAGAGGTATGAAGAGGTTAGCTTCAGCTTCGGCTTCGATTGGTGCAGCCTGTCTTCCAGATACGGGCACAAGGGATGGGGATAGCCGTTGGTTAGTGACGCTAGGGGAGAATGATCCAGGATAGGAGTCAGTGGCACAAATGTTGTGTTGTCAGCCTGTGCCCGGAAAATCTGTTTACCAGCAGACAGAACTAATCCAAGCTACATTGAATCTGCGACGCAATTTTCGACAAATTAAATGTTTGTGAAACCGGTTGGTTTACCTTTGTCGTCAACAGGTGGCCCGGTACCGTAATCACAATCAATTCATTTTAAACGATTCACAAAGAAAAACCCGGTTATCAGTTGACACGATGGACGATTTGCTTCTTTTTTCTTTTCTAATGTAATATGTTTGATCAGACAGAGTCACTATTTTCCACTAAGAAAATCAATGTGGTCGAGATCGAGTAACTTCGGTTGTAACCGGTCACGACTCATTCGTACTTCACGAAACGCCCCCAT